AACGTGCATCTATCGTTTTTTACTTTTACCGCTTTATCTCTTCCCTTTACGTTATTACATTATGTTATTACATTACTCTGTATAGCGTTTTATTAAGTATTTATTAAGATTAGATCAAAATCAAATAATACCCACTACTAATGCAATGTTTATGCCGTTATCATACAGCTTATAATCGTTGTAATTATTTTATTTTTATTATTGCAGGAGTTTGCGAAGACATGGAAAAGGCGTATTCTAGCTTGGCGCCACTTTTTTCCAAATCTATAATTTTATTTGTCGCAATCATGGGAAATTGTGCCGTAATATTTTTGTTAAGATGATATGCCACTTCCACGTGAAGAATTGTACTCGATGCTTTTAGAGGGATTATTTTTTTTTTCCTCTTCTCGTTCTCTTTTTTTTCTTGTGAACGTCGAGGAAAGTCGACAGGCAGAGAGCAACGGCGAATAAACTCCTCCGATTTTATATTCGCTTTTGTAAGGATCGAGGCCAAGAACGAACAGTTTAATTTAATCGACTTGATTGGACAGCGCTGGCCAACTACCATCTGTTTCTTCGTATTTCTTTCAGACTTTCATCACGTTCGATCTGCGGTCGATGACTCAGATACAATACTCTTTACTCAGAGACTCTTTACTCAGATACGATAGCTTATACTACTATGTAAGTTTCTTTTGTGTTTCTTTTCTTTTTTATTGTGCATTAGACAACATCGCACGATCTTTACTTACATTTTGTTATCCATTCTGACATAGATAAGGATGTACTTAGATTCTAGATTTTAAGTCTTATGCCCGTCCGTTTCATACAATGGTCGAGATTTCTACCCGATTACATCTATTTACATCCTGTAAATCTGTATATTTGCACTTGTATTTTTTATATAAGCATATGTTGAAGAACGAGCAAAAAGTTGGCTCATGTACTGAAAAACCGCGCATTTATTTTCGATTTAAGAATACGAAAACAACGATACCTCGATCGTTTTTACGTAATTGAGATTTGTAAGGCACGCAGTATATTGTCAATCGACCGACTACTGTGCACCCGCAGCTTTCTTGTAAATATAAGCAGGGTATAACGAGTCAAGACCATGTTCGATTAATCGCGAACGAAATCGATGTAATCCTATAACTGCGAATTTGATTAATTTAACGCGTAACAATTACTTACGATAAGGAAATACTTTTTACCTCTTAATCTGCTACATTTTGTATATAATAATTTAAGCACTGTATAAAGACTGTTTTTAAAGGGTATAGAGTTTTCCACTTATACAATCGCGTTTAATTATCGAGCGCTAGCTTGAAAATGATTAACTATCGTGTTCCTTTCGTTTTCGTCCATTGTGAGATCTGTATTATCGACGAAAGGGAAAAGATCACAGTGGAAGAGTGGCGTTCGATTAACACATTTCGAAATATGTACGCAAAATAGTGTCCGGTAACGAGGATTAATAACGCATCGTGAACGCCGATGCAATTGCGATCAGAATTCGTTAGAAAAATAAACTGAAATCGCATTTCTTTTTTCTTGATAACATGGTCGCATTGTGCCTAATCAAAACATTATTTCTCCTCGATTTATGACAGATTTTCTTACGACAAAATTATATATGGCTATCTATTACTCTCGTTGTATCCACGATTATTTGTTATAGTTCACATAGAAACGGAATACAATTATACTGAATTCGAGAGTAAACACACGCGCGTATGTAAGTATATACATACATGTGTGTATGTTGTGTGTTTTTATATATATGTATATACACACGTGCGCGCGCGCGCGTACATATTGCACGTACATGTACGTACGTGTGTGTATAGATGTATACATATACGCGTATAAATAATTGAGACTGTTCCGAAATTCGTATAATTAGAATATTCGAGTACGACGATGCGCTGGTTCTAATCCGTAAGATAGACAAATTTTTAATATCAAGATAAATTCTTATTTTTATACGCATAAATCTATCGTTCCCAGCCCGATCCTCGTTCACTCCTGCATTTTTCTATTTATTTCTCCATTGAAAGATTTGTTATCCTGTTTATTTCCTCCCGAAATGGACCCATAGTTTGTTTATACTTGACCAAGTTCCTGATACGTTCCGTACTAGTTTAATAGGCGTAACCACTTTGCGGCGCGCCTTGTCCAACATTAAAATTTATTCGAACCATTTTACGATCGCATCTCAACGTGTCTCAATGATAGTTATTGACTCGATCGTACCCTTTATTACTAATGCATCTAGATAATAACAGACGAAAGAGAGTTATTGTTGTTATTGTTGTTGTTGTGGGATGAGTACTGATATCTTGTGCGAAAGTTTCATCAATCAATATTGATCAAATCGAAATCCAGATATAATTTTTATGTACACCGCAATTTAATCGTAATACTTTTACTGCCTTCTACGTGAAAAATTTAACGTGAACACACAAATGCTAGTATTCAAGATATGAAAACAAAAAGGAGAAAAAAACAAAAATACGAATGATTCAAACGATGAGAAATAACAATTCTTTACAAGGGATTTATTAACGTATGTTGTATGTATGCGCGTGCGATTTTTTACATCGTGTATGTTGATTGAATGTATGTACAAGTTGTAATGTATGTAAAAAACGAGTAAAAGAAGGTTAACGATAAGTATGTATGCTTAAGGTAGCATCGTAATATTTTATCTACCGATGTAATGTCACCGCAACAACGACGATGACGATGACCAGGACGAGGACCAGAACGACGACGACAATGACGATGATTATGACAATGACGACAAAATGACAAGGACGAGGATAATGACAAAAGACGAACATATACGAGATAGAAATACGTTAATTTTAGGATGACTTAAGCATTGCTCGTGTTACGAGCACTGAGGTTATAAAGCGAGCGTGTTTTATTGAAAATGAAACGATTGTATGATGAATGTTGTATAAACAAGATAAACGCAATTGTGACAGTATTTCAAGGCGATATCGTTCGAGATGGTCGTATGTTTGATTGTTTCTTCTCAAGCTAGAAAATCAATGAAGAGACAAAACAAAGTTAAGATCGAGAAACAATACAATGACGATTCGAAACTGTCGATTTTTCGGGCGAAAGAATGAGTAAAAAAAGATGAAGATTCAAAATTACAATGGTATTTTGTAATCCAAAATGAAGTATCGACGCTTTCGTTTCGCAAGGATTGCTGATCAAAGCCCTGACCTACAACTATTACAAGCTACACTATGTGTAATGTTTACTATTATATTTTGAATATGAGGAAATACACGTACATGTACAGAAGTTATCGTATAGAAAGATGAATGCATATTTCACCGCACATATGATGAGTACATACAAACCTGTATAAATGTACAAACGATCGTAAGTGCGTTGTTGCTGTGTAAGAAAAGTATCGTTTCGAAGAAACGGATAGAACGAACGATTGTACGTGTATGCAGTACCGTATGTGCCTTCTATATTTTATAATATTTGAAAAAATACATAATCGGCAACAGGATCCTTCAGGCTGCTTATTAAGAACAAATAAAATATGAGAAAAAAAGAAAATCACAAAATGCAGGTATTTAAAAAAGTTTGTCAAAGATCGAACGTTTTCTTCGTAGCTGTAGGAATATTTTCAATGTCGTCGATAATGTACGGCGATAGAAACGAAGAAAGATTTTCTTTTCTGTATTGGATCGTTACTCTTGGTTCACTTTCTACTTTGATTTTTTCTATTTGTTTTTACATGCGAAAAGTAACGCACGAATAAAATGTACGCGAATATACGCGGAAGCCTTGGATCGATAGATGCGGTTGGTGTTTTGACAAAGCGGTCGATCAACTCGCGTGCGCTTCGGGTAAACTTGAGGGCGTGTGTGTAAATCGCGTTAAATCGTTCAGCTACAAAGACCACGCGAGTATCATCGATTTGCAGATTGCTAACGCGTACGTTTTCCTTCCCTCTCTTCCTCTCTCTAATTCTTTTCTTTTTTGTTGCTATCTCACGAAAAGAAGCATATTTCGTTTAGTGTTGTCGACTGTTGTTCTTTTCCAATACTTGCAAGCACGTATCCCGTGCGAAAGAAATACGAAAGATGCAAAGTGGAAAAGTAGAACGGTGGAAGATAAAATGTGGGGCAAAGGTGACTGAGGTGAACGGCACTAGCTCGTAACACGCAGAAAATGGTCGCGCATCTGCGCAGATGTACAGATTTATGAGGTTCAATAATTTGTCAGGAATATGGCAATACTTTGTTCGATAGAAGTTGCTCGATATAGCGTGCATATCTCATTAAGGTTACGAGATCGGATTGACATTAATGAATAGAACCTTTAAATTTACCTTGCTCTCTTTCCGATACTTTCATTCATAGAATTTTCATGTACGATATAGTTAAAACGAAATGATTCAATCGTTTACTATTATTCGTTCGTTTTATTATTTCCTCCGCTTTCTTCAGAAATGAGCTGCATAAGTATGTTCGATCGATTCATCGAAAAGGCTTTCTAGTCGACTCGAACCGACGATCTTTTCTCATCTCTGGTCTCCCATCGCGTAACGATATTAATATCGATATTTGTAAAAGTTGTACATCCTTTGATCTCCCTGTTTCAAGAGTGATTTGTTCCACGCGTTTGCTTGAAATGGGACGATCGTCGTTGTGTTGGACCTGTTGGGTTAATATCTTTAAAAGTATAGATTTTTGGCCATCTGGAAGTATAGATTCTTTCGATTGATTTGAATTGGTGCATTTAATATTATTACTAGAGGAAAATATGAAGCAAAAATATAAACTGTACAGACAAGAATAGAGGTGAAATAAAAAATGAGAGAATGTGAAATGCAAATCGTTGAAAAGGTCGAATGAAAATGCACAACAAATGCGATTAAAGAAAAAAGGGATAGATTAATACATGTTGCAATGGTAGGAAAAGATAGTATAGGAAGGGAAGAAGAGAAAGAAAAGAGCGAGTGGGGAGTTGGTGCAGATCGGGTGCGACGGTGCTGCTAGTTTAGCAGTTTTCACCCTCTGGAGTAAAAGCGCAAGCGCTAATGTCCTTTCCCGAAGCTCGGTACTACACGCCAGTAATCCGTGGAATGCCAAGGTAGAAGGAGCTATTTTTTCGAAGAGACGCAGCAGGTATTACTGTAAACTTTTCTTGCTATTTTTGATTAGGCGAATTATAGACATATATATGTAATAAATAGACAACGTTGTTATCGTATTTTGCTCGATCCATTAGGTGCAGGTTACCTCCTGCACACTCGATCCGCATCTCTTGCTTTCTTTACACATTTTCTTTTGCACGCAGTATGTTGTTGTTGATCGTTTTCACGGTTAATTATTGGCCTGTTTGCTGTTGAAATTTTGTCCCAGTTACTATATCACTGGCTCCCTTTCCTCGTTCATACACGTACAATCGTGTATTGGTTGTGACAAATGAGAATTTTTTCAATCCAATGTGTCTGGATTTTAGTTAAATTTCGTCAAGATCCAAATTTCATAGATCTACGATGTGCGTAAGTTTGCATCCCGTATCGAGAGATACAATTCTGCGTGATCATATAAAACAGAGTGAACTATTCCAGTGATCGAACGAGCAAACGGACAAATTAAAGATAGGGATGCAAACGAACTCTGGATCGTGAATAAACTGTTCTATCGTTGTCCAGAAATTGCGAATATGTGTATAGAGCATAGAATGCAAGAACGATGGCGTTATAATAGGTATGCATATCTCGCTGAAAATCTAACAATTAAATTGCAACCGACGATACATATTTCCTCTCTCGGTTGTCTCAAATCATCGATAATCGTTGACCCATGTAATTTTCTTGGTCTTTATCGCTGACAAACACTCTCAGACCCTCCCTCTCCCTCTCTCTCTCTCTCTCTCTCTCTCTTATTGTCTCCCCCCTTCCTTGATTATAAAGTGAGTAAGAATCAACGATCATTCTAGCAGCTCGATATCGATTTGGTCAATGATCGATAAAACAACAAACAGATTTAGTTTCGTTATCGATCCGAAAACATTATCTATCTGGTTGGATATGTAGACCTAAGCTAGCTAGGTTGTGAAAGAGAAGTAAAGCCGTTGAATCAGATGACAATTGGCGTCCAATCGAAAAGGATGTTTTCATTCACAAAACGATTCGTTTCGCGCCATTTCTACGTGCACTTTTCTCATACGCTCGATGAATTTGACATCGCGTTGATCGATCACGTGGCAGGATTTTCAACTACCGATGCTATTACGAGCGGGATTCGAATGATCATATCGTTTCGCGTTACAGAGACGCAGCTCCGAATAGCTTAAGAATCGATGGTCGATCGAAGAAAGGAGATTGCCGTTGAAAGCAAGAACAGAGACGAAGATCGAACAGGATGAAGACGTGGCGCGTCCAAGTATCGACTTCGTATGGAACAACCAGTTACATGGAACGATCGAAGCAAAACTCGCTTAGATCGGTTTAATGTTTTTGCAGATAATACAAATGTCGATTTCCGTATCGCATTCTTTTGAGGATCTGGGCTAGGAGAGAAAGCGAAATAAGATTTTGTGTCATAACGGTCATAAACGTATTGTGATCCGTTTGACTCTCCTCCTTACCGATACTCGACTCGGTTTGTTGGATGAATAGAACAGAAGAGAAAAGTAGGGAATAAAGGAAAAGGAAGCGCCGGGAAATAAGTATCGAAATAAGGCGAACGGGCGGAAAGACGGACGTATAATAGGACAGAAGAAGTGATTAAGAGAAAGTACTGAAGGAGTGAAGAAGAAAACCGTTGGCGGAGAGGTGAGAAAAGTGGGCGGCATTACCAAGATCAAATAAAAGAGCCTCGTGACGGAGGGGCTTCGTACGGCCCTGGCGCGACTGCGGCACTGCACCCCCACAGGGGGTTCTCTGCCAAATACACCGAATCCGCCTTCCACCCCGGAACATAGAAATCACGTGAGTATTGAAAATTGGCAAAATAACGTAAAGAAAGAGAAAAAGAAAATGTGATTGATGTGTTTGATACGATAGGAGGATAGGAGTGTATGGATGGAATGAACGTGCGCGCGCGCGTGTGTGAGGAAGAGAGAGTGGAGACGGAAAAGAAAGAGAAACTGTGAGAGCGATCATCAGTTGGCGTGGTGAATGTTTGATGAAAACAGGGATGTCTGGTGGATGGTCGCGGGTCGAACCGTAAAAACGGTGGCAGCTCAAGGGGTAGCGATGGGACCGATTCGGCAACAGCCGAGTCACAGCAGCAGTCGCAGTCGCAGTCGCAGTCGCAGCCGCAGTCGCAGTCACAATCACAGTCGCAGTCGCAGTCGCAAACATCGCGTGTTTCTAATGCCAGCGCACATCGTCACAATGGAACGGATAATTCGCGCGAAACCGATTTGTTGTCTCACGCTGCCTCCGCGTTACGAAGACTGCACTTTAAATCCGCAGGCGGAAGTCGCAGTTGTCGCACCGTTCCAAAAGTGGTCGTTATGGGTTCGAGCACCGCTTCCGAGACAACAATCAACACTAGCACCGACAGCGCCAACACGATGCTCACCATGGTAAGGTCATCGAGGGTGTACGGGTTAACCGTGTTAACGCGTATGCGAATGTGCGCGTGAAAGAGGATGAGAAGTTCGAGCGAAAAATGAGTATTTAATCGTAGGTGACGACAACGGACGGAGAGCAACCGGACGACAGTTTCGATTTGATGGATATTCCATCGGAGATGTCACCACCGGCTACTACATCGTCGACC